TAAAATATCCATCCCTTTTCCAATTTCATATCTGAATGAGACTGCGGGTTTTTTTTTCCGTATGCTCCACCTAAAACAATATATCACAACAGGTTGAATGCAGAAGCAGGTGTGAGAATCCAGCTGTTTTCAATAAGTCAGACATTAAAAAAATTTGTAAAATGATGCCATTCTTTCCACAAAATTTTTGATTTGAAAAATATAATTATTTTTACTAAATATGTCATTTGTGTTAACTAACATGTCATGAATTTATTACTGGAACTTTAAACAAATAAATAAACACATAAATTTAATATTTTACAAGTTTAGCATCCAATGGTAAATACCAGTAACAAAATGCATAAACAAAATACTTTGCAATCTTTGGTAATTTTTAAGATGTAAAGTGGTTCTGAGGTCAAAGAGCTTGGGAACCTCTCATCTAGAAAATATTATTTCAACTATATAAAAAAGAGCTGGAGGGAAATTGCCAACTTGTTTGGACTATGCTGAATTGCTAAGAGTGATTATCTGTGGATGAAAGGTTTAAGGGTCATTGTTATTTTAACATCTTTATTATTTTTACTTTTCTGAGTTTCCAAAATTTTTCACTTTACATGCATTTCTTTTCTGTCAGATGGAGCGTAATTTTTTTTAATTTGCACTTTCTGTTCTTCACCTTTAAAAAAAATCTTTCTGCCCTTAGGCCATCATTTAGAACCTAAAACTGTAAAGTGTCTCTTAATTACACTTGCATAGAGTCTCAGCTCATAAAATTCTGCCAAATTTAAGACAAATTAACCACAAGCTATATGAAGGTAGAATTTACAAATGCAATTTGCAAAGCACAAAAAGTTCCAGAGAAATAGCCTTTGAAACACTAGTCAGCAGAGGAGGTATCTTCCAGGAGGTAATTGTGCCAAGGCTAAGATTAAAAAATTCACTCTTTATTTACTTATAGATTCTATTGCCATAGAACCTTGAAGTCGTCAATGATCTGAAAATTCTTACCCATTTCAAAAGCTCACCAATACAGGAAGGCTTCCAAGTTCACCATCTGTGCTCCCAATGACCAAAGGTTTTGGCTAATACATTGCACTCTTAAATAGTTCTGTTTGTTTGAAAACAAAATCTACCTGAGTTACAGTCCTCTTAATGTCTACAAATCAGAACTAGATGTGTGATCTTGGGCTGGTTCCATAAACAAAACATCATGTTATTACTATGTCATAAGATTAATAGCATGTGTTCTCACTGAGTTGTTGTGAGGATTACATAACATATGAAACTAAACATAGCAGTGCCTGACATAAATTGATGCACAATTGGTGCACAATGCCTGTTGTTATTTTTATATTTCCAAATACTCCCAAACTGTATTGGGGCCAGCCAAAAATGGCCCCTCACTCTCTTAGGAACATTCTAGGATCTGCTTGCCTCTGTATGACCAATCCATTGCTCTATGTCCAGTTTTTAAATCCTCCAGAAAACCTTCCCAGCCTACCTAGGATTTCTTCCCTGGTTCCCAGAACTTCTAGAGCATATATTGCCTGAGATACCTTCTGCTGCTCATCTGCATCTGTATCGAAATCTTAACAGGCTGGACAGGATCTTCTGTTTCCTTTGTTTTCTCCCACTTATTGCAAAGCACAGCCTTTCTGTGGATTGACTGGTTCCTGATACATCATCTCTCTCATGCTTTTGCTCAACGTTTCTTTTCTAGAGTGTTTTGGGATTATTTTAGGCTCCGTGCTTGTCTCTTGTGGAATAATTATTACACTAAATTAGACTCCTTTTCTTTCACTAAATCATCATGGCTCCCAGAGTCCTGGGAGTTAACATAAATTAAAATAGAGATGTTTATCTGCTTGAATCCTAACAAATTTGATAAGCAATTTGGCAAATTTCTTTATTCTTTGGGATTAAGCAATGTCTCTGATCAATTCTCACCCAGACAGGTTTTCATAAATATTTTATAAGCTCCCAAATGCCAATAACTTCCAAAATCCCTTGCCATTAATTTCATCCTTCTCCCAGCAGAAGACTGTAACTACCCAGAGCCTTATGGAGGGTAGAAAGGAGTGAGTGCTTTATCAGGATAGCCATGTTACTATGATGGTTTCTGCTCTTATTCTGAAAACCTGGAGATTCCCGATAGGCCAAGACTCAGTTCCACAGTACCCTAAGCCAAAACTCAGAATTCCTAAAGATATATAAGACAGATAGATACACTTTCCCTATTTTTCTTCCCTCTAGCTTACTCTAAAGGGTGCTCTACTGAAGGAATGTTAAAAAAAAAAAAAAGAAGAGAGAAGAGAAGGGAAGAAAAAGAAACCATTAAGCAGAGGCTATAAAAAATGCATCTCACACATTTTGTTTTGAAGAGCTTGGGAGGAGAGTAGCAAATATAAAATTTTCAGCTGAGCTTATACTGAATCTATTTTGAATGAGGACTCTGTATGAGTATGGAAATTAGATCTCAACATCATGAGATGGCATACGAATGTTTCTTGAACAGTTCCAGATACACAATAGTCAAGATGAATGCTGCCATCCATCCTTTTCCCCTCTCTTCTGCATGCTGTATAAAACCTGAACTATTTTTATAACTGCATTTTATAGTAGAGAACATGACAGCGTCTATTCAAATGGAAAAATTTTGCTTATACTCTCCTGCGCCCATCAGTCTCCCACATTTACTCGGCAGAATGGGAGTTGTAATATGACAATCAAAAGCCTTGTTGTTTGCATAGTCTTGTCTTACTGCTAGCAACTCTATTACTTTGTAAAGTATTGGGCAAACTCTTTCTGAAAGTTTTATTTTCCTAAGTTCTGGTCTTACAAAGTCAGGTCTCATAGATTGTGGCCACCAGTCTACATCTTCCTCCCTGCCATTATTCTCTCCGCTCCCTCAACTTCTGTTGTCATAATAGGTTATCCCACCGACTACTCCCAGGGATGCTGACTTAACTGATCTGGAGTGTGGCCTGAGTATTGGGTTTTTTTAAAAGCTTCTCCAGATGATTCTAACGTGGGGAAAGTCTGAGCATTCCCCTATGGGATTTGCATACTTCTTTAAATACTTTTCAATGAAGTCATGTTTTGAGTTTGAATAGATCAGCGTTCATTGAGTTTGGTGTCTATATTGAATAGTATGTTTATGTTAACAACTCAGCTAAAGAACATTAAGAATCTACCAATGTATTGTTTAACTGCATATGTCTATCTTATACTAAAATAAGCATGTATGTTGAAAGTCACAAGATACTGATTTTGAGTTCAAATGAATTTAGAATTTGTTGAAACTATTTTATGTTTTTCTGAAAACCTGCTAAAGTTTCAGTGTAAATTTTGTTTTGAAAAAGGTTAAAATCTATGAAGAAGGATTTTTTTTAAAAAAACTGGGTAACGGTTTATATCGTGAACCAAAATTTGTGAATTAGAGTGGTTGCTATGTGTATCAGTTAGTTTTTGCCACATAGTAAATTGTCCCAAAATGTAATGGCTTAAAAAAAATGTTATCCCACTAAAATGGGTCAAGATTATGCAACTCATTCTCAAGAAGATGACTTCTTCAGTCAACATTAGATGAAGAAATTGCCTTGAATTCTTCATCTGAGCTTCACAAGTCTTATATCATCTGTTACATCAAAGACTGTACTAATCTTTTTATTAATGCTTTTACATTAATCACAAAGTGATGGTACAAGTCCTTTTTTAATGTTATATCTTCTCTCCTAGTCTTCTTTTCAAACTTCAAAGGGATCTATTATGTATTTATGCTGTATTTGTGGACTGTGCTTTCCTTCATGTCTGTTTGCACACGTGTGTTACATGTGTATGCCTTTATTTGTTTTATATATGTGCATATGTATACATATATGTGATTTTCATTTTCAGCGTGTTTCATACTACATGTGTGCACATTGTGCATCCACATGTATATATATGTGTATATACACATATATGAATATATGTGTGTAATATATAAATATATGTGCATATATTCTTATGTGTTCATGTACTCCTGTGGGCTTGCCATGCGAAAGTGAGATGCTTGAATTTCCTTCTCCTTGGTAACCAGAGAGTTGGTTCTGTTTCTTTTGTTACATAAGCTGGATAAGTTGAAACTTAAGGGGTTTATCAGGAAGAAATGGATTTTACAGTCTTACACTGTATCTGTTATTTCTTCCTCACTGGTCAACAAATCGACTGACGTGAGTTTCACTGATGAATCATTGCACTGAGAACAGCAGTGACGTGAGGCTATTTAATTGAAGTAACTTTGGGAAAAGGTGTTATATTTTAAAAATTTGCTCAGGATTATTGATAAAAAAGATTCGTTCTTATTTTGTTCTCTCAGAGTCTCAGGTGTATTTGGTGATACTGACCAGATTTATCTACAGAAACTATTGAATTTCATGCCGAGTTCACACACAACAAAAAAAAATAGGGATGGCTGTGTTGAGATGGAGGGTAGGAAGGATCCTGGCAGGCTGTACCATCTCCCAGGGCTCAGCAGCTGTCTGCCCTGTTTTTTGGCAGCAAAATCCAATTTCGACTCTCCCCACGTGGGCTCAGCAGAGGTCCACACTAGCTCCCCAAATTTTGGCTTCCTCATTTGTGAAACGTGACCAAACACATTAATCTCAGTGGCAGGCAGGAGATTGGGAGGATACTGGATGAGGATGAACAAACTGTAATCATCAAACAAACTGCCACATCAGGTACCAGATCAGGATCGGAGATAGACCCTGGGTTAAGGAACAAGAATGTGAAAAAACTCCATCTTGGAAGAAGCTCTCAGGTTTTGAAATGATATATATCTGGAAGGCTTCTGAAGGAGTTTTTTGTTGGAACACAACTCATAACAATCAACCATCCTACGATAACTACAGGGGCTCTCTTCTCTGTGGTCCAAGGGTGAAATTTAAGCCTTTAGTTTGTTATTTGAAGCCCTTGATTATTAAACTTCAGATTCTCTTTGTAATGTGGTTACTTGTACTTGCTTTCTCAGTGACCCACCACTTCCTGTGCTAACCCAGATCGTCTACTGCCCCCTAAATCTGCCCTTAGAAAATACTTTATCAAATGTCTTCTCCGATTCCCTGGGCTGGATGTGTGAGCTCTCTCTCTCTTTCTCTCCTCTAGAGAGTTTTATTTGTATTCTTCTCATGGTGCTTCCTCCTTATTTCTGTTTTGGATTACAATCACATGGCTGCATGCTTGGTCTTCTTCACCAGACTCGAATAAAAAGACAGGGTCTGCTTCATTTGTGTATTCTCACAATACCTAACAGAGACCTTTGCATGCATATAATAGGTAAACAATTATTACCTGATAAATAAATGAGTAAATGAATGCAGGACATCCAACAGTTTTATTTCAAAATGCTACTCTAACATGAACTTAGTATCACAACACCTCAGTTCACTTACCTCTACAGTAAAAAATTAGCACCATCTTCAGAGGAGTGATGTAACTAAATACAGCTGCTTTTACAAGCAAATTCTACCAAATATTAAAGGCCTGACCATTTCAGTCTTACTCAAAATGCTTCAGAGCAGGCTTTCTCAACCTTGGCACTGTTCTTCATGGTGAGGGCTGCCCTGTGCAGTGTAAGATGTCTAACAGGATTGCTGGCCTCCACCCGCTAGATGCCAGTAGCATCTGCACTGCACCTCAGGTCATGACAATAAAAATTTTCCCCAGATGCTACTGAATGTCCCCTGGGAAGCAAATGCCCTACAGTTGACAAACTAGGGAAAAAGTAATAATTCCAAATCTAACAGTGGAAGCAAATAAAAGGTTTCCCCTTACCTGTGGGCATCTAACGAGTGACTTCTGCCATTGAAATCTTCTGAAATTTTTGCAGTTCTAGGAGAGAATCATCATTATGATTGCAGAAATGTGGTTGTCTTCCAGAAGTTTTACTTTTCCTTCCATATAAAATAAGCCTGACATCACTCATTCATCACTGAATCTCCCACAGCGGCTGACATGCTGTCATCAACTCCTTTCTGCTCCTGTAACAGCCTGAGCTGCCTGGACCTGTTGCAGTACTTACTATATTATGGTACAATCTTATTCTCCAACTGTCTCCCAACTAGACTGCGTGCTCCTGGAGAGAAGGAATGGTGCCTTACTCATCTCTGCATCTCCAGTGTCTGGAAGAATAGTGTTTGACACCAAGCAGACATGAGCGCACTTGTTATATGGGTAAAGGATGAATCAGCAGTCCAGTAAAAATAAAAATCTGTCCAATGGAACTGAATCAAGGGGAACTGCTGAAATTTCTAACTGGAAAGCTGGTCTCCTAACCTGTGGCCCAGGGATAATTTCCAAAGCTGAAGCCCCTAAATTAACCTAATATTTATTCAGGTAGAATTTTAAGTGCAAGGGGAATGTGGATTATTTTTCTGTGGCATTCAGGTCAACATTTTAATTAGCATTCAGAATGCTGGCCCAACATTATGTTATGTGTGGCACATAAAATGGCACATCATACATTTTGTGTATTTACTATATATATAAAATAATTTTTAAAAATTCTTATCATACAGGAATAATCACTTTGATATATTGGGATATTTCCTTCCAATTTTTCATTCCCATTCTCATGAACATATGTCTAAATAGCTAATTAGATAACTAGATACAGATAGCTCCCCAAATATGTCCATGTTATAACACCCAGAAACTGTGACTGTATGACCTTACATGGCAAAAGGGACTTTGCAGATGTGATTAAGAACCTGACTGTGGAAAGATGATGGTGAACTGCACTGGGTGGGCTCAGAGTAATCACAGTGGTCCTCATAAGAGGATGTGAGTCAGAGAAGGAGACGTGGTGACAGAAGGAGAGGTTGGAATGATGCAAAGGGGGCCATGAGTTAAGGAATGAGGGCAGCATCTAGATGCTGGAAAAGCAAGGGACAGAGTCTCCCTACAGCCTCCAGAAAAAAACAAAACAAAACAAAACACACAATCCTGTTGATCCTTTTGGACCTCAGACCTCAGGAGCTGTCATGTAATAAATTTGTGTTGTTTTAAGCCAGGAGTTTGTGGTAATTTATTACAGCAGCAATAGAAAACTAATAAAGAGAGAAAGTTTATTAGTTTCCTGGGGCTACTGCAACAAATTATCAGAAATTTGGTGGCTTAAGACAATGAAATTTGTTCTCTCACAATTCTAGAGGTTAGAAGTCCAAAATGAGATGTTGACGGAACCATGCTCTTCCCACAGTCTCCAGGGGAGAGTCCTTCTGGTGGTGGCCAGCAATCCTTGGTATTTTTGAGTCTGTAGATTCATCACTCCAATCTCTGCCTTTGTCATTACATGGCAATCTCTGTGCGTGTGTGTGTGTGTGTGTGTGTGTGTTCAGGTGGCCTTCTTAGAAGGCCAGTCATTGGATTTAGGGCCCACTCTAATCCAGTATGACCTGAACTTAACTAATATCTGCAAAGGCCCTCTTTCCAAAGAAGCTGCCATTCTAAGGTTGCAGGTAAACATGAACTTTGGGAGGGTACTACTCAATTTAGTATAAATTTATGGATAGGTAGATAGGTAGATTGAAAAACAGATGGACAGATGATAAATAGATATGTATATAGATAGATAAACGGACAGAAAGGTAGATAACTGGCCGCTAGCTAGCTAGCTAGATAGCACATTCTTTGACAATACCATTTTCATTGTTGCATAATATTTTGTTAAACACTTATAGAAAAATGTATTTGTTCATTTTGCCATTAGCACATTGTTATATTTACCAAAACACTGATTATTTCACTGACTCCTTTCTAAGTGCCACATTCTGTATGGGATACTGACCAATTGGAACTTACTCTGAGAAGGGCAAACCAGAATAGAGAATGAACTCAAAAATTATTTCTCATGAAGGACTGTGGAAGGAACTGAAATGACTAAGCAAGAGAAGAGAAGCCTCAGGACATACATGGAGGACATCTTCAAAGACTGGAGGTACTTCTATGTTGAAGAAAAATTAATCTTATTTTCCCCCCCAAGGTGTTGAACTAAGGCAAATTAATCAAAGACCATTCCAAAGAAAAAAGTGCTTCAGTACCAGTCTTACCTCTCTGGATTTTCTTCCTCTCTCATCTTTGACCTAAAAAATTTCAGTCTTAGTAGTGCTCCAAAGACTTCAAGCAAATGTTTTCTTAACATTCTTGGCAAGAACTATTAATGGTATGAGATTTTTTAAACTGTCAGGAACTGCTAAATGTCTGAGATGTTGCCCTACTTGCAAAATAACAAGTTATCCTGTTACAGCTTCATGGATGCTTTGGATGATATCAGATTCCTGGGTCAGATACAAAGGCTAGTTTGTTATTCACAGGCATAACAGTAGCCAGAGTGTCATAATTTTCCTGACGAGGTTCCAAATTGTAATTCTACAAAGTGATGTGAAAAGGGCCAAGCAGTGCCTGCACAGGCAGTGGCACAGCCACCGAGCTTAGGAAGCCCCAGTCTTTTATAATGTTCTCAACACAAACCTGCCTGACCTTTGCCCTGGAAAGGTGCGCTGTTGCTCTAGAAACAAAGATAGATCTAGACAAAAGTTGTCAGTATCGTTGCTCACAAGACATGCAGAAATGCAAGGAACCTGTGGATATTTGTCTCTCTTTCATTTTTGTACCATCTTACTTTCCAGTTAATTTTCCAATGAATTCATCACCCCTTCAACTTTGATTAATCTGATCGACAGGGGCTGGGACCAACTCCATTTAATTTGTTTCATAGAGCATTTAGTAAGACTGCTATTAATAGGACTCGAAACAGCAAGATGAGATCAACCTGAAGTATCAGCCTCGTAAGGTGAAAAGCAGAGTGCAGATGAAGATGGAGCTGGAGAGGTAGGCAGGAGGCAGTTAATAAAGGATTCTGTGTGCTCTGTTATGTGCAGACGTTGTTCTGCTGGTGATGAAGAAGTATTAAAGTGGTTAATGAGAGTGTTATACAGATAATTTGCATGTAAAGTAATTCTCCAGGATGGCCAAATGGATAACAACTTGGAGAGGATACTAGCCGTCAGAGAGAGACCCTGTTCAAATGACATTTTAATGATGCATTTCACAGACATTTAGGCTTGAAGGGGGTAGATTTTAAACATATTTAGTGGGTAGAATTGAGAAAACTTTAAAGGGAAGGGATTGAGAGAGGAGGAAGTCTTGAGCAGTTTCCATGTTTCTGGCTTTGCTGACAGCGTAGATGGTGGTGACATCCCTGAGAAAGGGAAAATATAGGACAGTGGCTTTGAAGAGGATTGACAAGTTCAAAGCAAGCAGATAAGTATGTGAAGTGTAGTCATCCACTGGTATGTCTAGAAATTATTTAGGTTAAGAATCTGAGGGGTGGGTTGGGTTGAACTCCAGTGCTGAAAAGGTTAATTGGGAATTTACCAGCACAGATGTTACAACAAAAATCTGGGGACTGGCTGAGGATGTAATGAGAAAGATAGAAGGGAAGAACCCCGGGGAACATCAGCATATGTGGGATGTGGGTTAGTGGGAGAGGGTTGTGGGGGTGGTTGGAGGAGTCCCTGCAGGACACAGGAGAAAACGTGGGAGGAAGTTCTGCTGTAGAGGCCTGTAGGGGAGAGTCACAGAGAAGGAAGTAACCAGCAGAGGGATGACCTAAGAAGGGACTGAAAATGTGTATTGGATTTAGCAAGAAAAAGATCATCGAAGACTCGAAGGAGAGCAGTTCTGTAGCAAAGTGAGAGCCGAAGCTAATCGCAGTGAGCAGTGTCATTACTCAGCACGTGTTATGTGTGTCCTCCAGCCATTAGGAAAACATCATTGGGGAATCTTGATTCTTTCTAAAAATTAAAGGAAATCATTTGGGCTGAGGCTTCCCGGGGCCTCTGACTTTGCTGAAGGAAGAAGAGCAGGAGCTGTTTGATTCATTCATGTCAGATATTTATTTGGCAAGAATTCAGCACATTCAATGAGAGGCCGAAGCAGCAGGAAGGTGTCTTCTGGTAATGCAGGTGACAGGGTGGTCAGCTCTTGATGCCTGATTTGTCAAATCTTATTAAAGAAGGAAAAGAAGATGGCTTAGAAGTCTACAACTGAGTCAGACAACGACACACCTTATGTCAACACAGACGAGCTGGAATAATGAATGCCTTCGCCAATCCCACATCATCCATTTTCTTTTATGTGTAAGCCCTAGAAAAAGATTTCATAGAAGTGTGTCTGGAGGAAAAGAGGAAGTGTCCTGCTGCTGAGCTCCATTTGAAATGAGCAGGAGGGAAATACAGACTCAGGTAATTAGGTTTTTAGATCCAGCTCAGACTGTAGAATCTGTTACCCCGCTGTCTTCGGTGTGGTGTGGGGGAAGCAGAGGGTCCAGAGCGCTGCTTCCTGAAGGGGCCAAAGCAGGGCAGGAACGTAGGCCTTGAGCTGACCCCAGAATTCATTAGTTCTGTACCATCTGCAAGTTAGTTAGCCTCTCTGATCCTCATGGTTTTTGTTTGTATTTTGCTTTTGTTTGTTCAAAGTACTTAGCAATACTTTATCCAAAAATTATTGAAAGGATGAAAATATCCTATAAATATTCAAACACATATATGAAATGCTTGGTATATTAGACAATGAGCAATTTCTTGATTCCTTCTTTCTTTTCTTCATCTATCCCTTCCTCCCTTCCCTTCCTTCCTTCTTTCCCTCCTTCCTTCTCTTCCTCCCTCTTTTTCTCCCCAGTGAATGTCTGTCTGACACCTCAAGAATCTAGGTGCAGCCCCCAAAATTTACATTATTTGCATACAAATCAGATCCTCCAGATAATGAGTGCTAATTTGGAAGTGTCCCTAGAGGCAGGAAGGTCTTCAAAGGCCCTCAGAAGTCCCCTAAGAGGATTAACCCTTACCAGTGACTTGATTACAACAAAACTCTTCCAAGCTAGAAAATGACTCAGCGCCTCTGAGGGCCATATGCACAGTTTCCATCTCATTAACAAAAAGCTTAATCCTTTGAAGGAAAGAGAGCTTTTTCCCCAGAAAACATTCTCTTCTCACACCTGTCCCTGAAATTGGATTGAACATCACCATACAAACTATACACATCATTTTCCAGAGCAAATGACCCTCATCCCCAACCTGGCAGGTTCAGAATTGTCTCCTTTTGCTATTCCAGTGATCTGATATTTTTTGGATCAAGGAGTAAACTGTAACTTGCAGGGTCACAGCTATTCAATTTTCAGAGAAGAGTTCCCCAAAAATTTCAGGAAAGGGAAACTAAACATCTCTAGCAAATGAAAATGCATGTCAAAGTCTCTTCATTAGACTCTGAAGGACCATTCAGTGCCTTGCTGAGGGGTCTATTGCTTGAATCTACACTCAGGTCTGAAATAACGTTTACTGATGTCCAAATTCATAGCAGAAAGTAAATTGAAAAATTGTAGTCAAAAGAGAAATTATGGGCACATGAGTGTATCAAGAGGAAATGTCATTGGAAGGAGTATGAAAGCAAAATATGACCAACATAGGAGATCAAAAGCCGCAGCAGATAATGAACACTTTGTGCTGAGTGATCAGCCACACACGTCAGTCGCCCCCATGGTCACCGCCCAGATGTTGGGCAGCACGAAGGTCGTTCAAGGCAAACGTTGAGAAAAGACCAATGTATAAATGATGCAGCCACCACCATATCAAGATCTAGAACACTCCCATCACCCTGGAGGGTGTTCCTCCCCTGTCTCAAATCCCGACTGCCCTGATGTCCCACTCTGTAGATTGCGTAAATGGAATCACACAATATCGTATTCATTTGTGTTTGGCGTCTTTCGTGCAACATCATGTTTTTGAGGTGTGTTCACGTTGTTGTAGGTGTCATGTATCCTTACTTTTTTTGTTGCTGAATAAGTATTTCACTGTATGAATATACTACAGTTTGTTTCTCCACTTACCTATTGATGACCATTTCTATACAAGACATTTCATGGTCTTATGTTTTTATTTCTCTTCGTAAATATCTAGGGGTGAAACTACTGGGTTATATGATCGGTGTCTATTTAACTTTTAAGAAACTACCAGTTTCCAAAGCAATTATACCACTTTACATTCTCACTAGCAAGAGGCGAAAGTTCTCATTTCTTTACATCTTGTCCACGCTTAATATTGTTAATCTCTTTAAATTTTAGCCATTCTAGTGTGTGTGAAGTGATTTCCCATTGTGGTTTTAATTTGCTTTTGCTTTTTGACTGGTGAAAGAGCAGGAGATTTTAATTTTGATGAAGTCCAATTTATCAATTTTTGTTCTTTTATGATTAGTGCTTTTTCGCTACCTCAAGTTGCTAATAATTCTTTCCTCTCTTTGTCTGGAAATTATATACTTTTATTTTTTACATTTAAGTCTATGACCCATTGTCAACTATTACTACTTTTTGGCATGCTGGTCAGGGTTGTTTGTTTATTTGTTTGTTTCTTCAGGGTAAATATCCAGTTGGTTCTGGACCGGTTTTTGCAAAAAAAAAGTTCCTTTCCTTATTGAAACAGAGCTCTGTTGGAAACCAATTGACCATAGCCTTCTGGCTCTTTTAAATTATAAAATATAAATATCAGCATGAACTCATACTATATTTTCTTCTTACAAAATAATATGTATTTCCTAGCTTTGTCAACTGGTAGGGCCTAAAAACAATAACTAACTCTGTAACAACGAACACCACTATTCAAATATTGGTATCTAAAAAGCATTTCACACCAAAAGAAACCAGAACAAACCTAGAAGAAAAAAAATACAAGAAGATCCTGGAATACTTGTCATGCCAGAGAGTATGTAAGCTATTCAACTTGTGTCAAAATGACAAAAT